TTTAAAAAATTAAAAAAATATTTAAAGTATCTATTCATTAAATTATAAGTATAGTTTCTAAAAGTGTGTTGTTTGGGGGTAAAAAGTAATGGCCACCAAAGGCTTCAGAAGAAAGTGGTGACCTCAAGTCCAAAATTCACATCTTCATCAAACTTTGGTTTTAAAGATAGTTTCATATTAGATGAAGGATATTGAAAATTCTTTTGTGGGGGTTTGTGTGTGAATTTATGTCCCTGGATTGCATGTGTGAGTGTATGTCTCTGTGTGTATCTGTGTGTTTTGGGGCTCATGTACACATGTGCATGTGGAGGCCAGAGGTCAATGTTAAGTATCTTATATTCCTCCATTATTGTTCATCTTATTTCTTGATACTGGGCATCTCTGTGAGCTCAGGGCTTTCAGATTGGCTAGCCAGGTTAGCCAGGAAGTTCTAGGAACCCCCCCCCAATACACATACACTACTAGGGTTACCAGATGGACACTAGCTCTCTCATCTGGCTTTTCACATGGATGCTAGGGACTCAAGCTCAGGTCTTCATGGTTGTTCAGGAAGCATTTTATTTATTTACTTACTTTTATTTACTATTTTTACTTTATGTGTATACACGTATTGCCTGCATGTGTGTAAGTGCACCTGTGTCATGCAATGCCTGTGGAGGACAGAAGAGAGTGTCAGAGACCCTGGAACTGGAGTTATGAACAGTTGTTAACTGCCATGTGGGTGCTGGGATTCAAACCCGGATCCACTGCGAGAGCAGCCAGTGCTCTTACCTGCTGAGCCATCTCTCCAGCCCCTTGAAAAGTTTTAAACTTTTGTACCTTCTATGCATCTATACTTTCTAATATCAAACAGATCCTTAGCTCACTAAAAATAGATTGCATCAGGTGTGTGTGTGTGTGTGTGTGTGTGTGTGTGTGTGTGTGTCCAAAGAAAATAGTCCAGTGAGAAGACTCTGCATCCTATCAGATGAATCTTATTTCACTGGAGCTTAGTTTCTGCTTGAGAGAGGATGGTGATCCTAGGCCTGTCAGAGAAATTAAATCTACATGGCACAAAAACCTAACATGCACACATGCAGATCACATCAAGTGCCCTGAGGGATGCTTATGCCTCAAAGTACCTCACTGTCACATGACCCATGTGACCTCATGACCCACTGTGCTGAGGCCAGCCAACATCTTCCTCCCTCAAAGAAGCCCTTTCTGTTTGTAGGATAATGTGTGACTCTTCATTTCAATAATGCTTACCAGAAAGTCAAGGAAAAGTCTCTTTGATAGAGAAACTCCATTGGATACTGAATGTTTTAAGTGGGGCATGGAGAGAGATAACACAGAAAGGCAGTCCCGAGTCTCTCCAGTCTAACCACCTGGATTCTGAGGGCTGGTGGGATGGTATGGCAAATGATTTTAAGTTCAAATAGGCAGAACAGTGGAAGAATGAATGAACCCTTTGATGGACAGTAGGGTATAGGAATGAGCAAATCTGGGATGCTCTTGATTTGCATATTTAAAACGAACATTTGAGAAACATGCGTGTACCACAGCAGGGTCTTAATATGTGTCAGGGTTAAAAAAAAAAACACATCAGGCTGTGGTCCTTGTAGCCTCTTTGTAGGGATTATGTATCGGCACAGCCATAGACCTGGTCTGTTTTAGGAAAACGGTGCATTTAATCGCCTTTCAAAAGAACTCTTTCCAAATGGCTCCGGAACATAATACTCATTAGGAACAGAACTCTTTATGTTGATTTACACTGGATGAAACTCCTGCCAGGCTAGGAGATGCAGGTTTGTAATTCTAGCTACCGGAGAAACTGAGGAAGGAGAACTGTATTTTCAAGGTCTACCTTGGGACACAGAGTGATTTCAAGGCTAGCCTGGGCAACTTAGAAAGACTTTGTCTCAAAAGAACTTGGCAACTGTGCACAAAACCCCGGCTTGTGGCCCCAGAAATTGCAGAGTGGAGAACTAAATCTTACTCATCTTCTTAGCTCGTTTTAAGTTTATGTTTCCAAGCAGGGGCTTAAACAGAAGCACACTTAAACTAATATACGTAAAACAATTTTCGACATTTGTGTTTTAGTTGGCGAATGGATGGATTTATGGTGAAATCTATTCAGATTCATCTAAGATTCAACCACTAATGAAGCCATATAAACTACAGTCTGAAAAGGTGAGAGAGTGAATTTGTAAAGTATTGATTTTTGGTAAATGTTTGCTATGTGTTTTATTATTAAAATCCTTCATTATCTCTTTAAAATTGTTTTCATATGCACACGTGTGTATGTGTGCATGCACATGTGCACGCACGCACACAGACCTATGTACCACACATATGTGTGGAAGTCAGAGGACAACTTACAGGACTCTCCTTCTGCCATGATGGTTCTAAGGATAAAACTCAGGTCATCAGTGCTGGTCATCTCAACAGCCCAAAATCTTTATTTTCTACTTGGTTTTTACTTTTATTTAAAATCCCACGTGTATGTTTTTAAATCCGTTTCCCTTTTGTGTTTTGCGACGGAGTCTCTTTCCTCAGGATTTTCCCTTTGAATGTTCATTCCTCTCCCATACTTTTCCTTTTTATTGAATTTTTATTGAATTTAATCATCTTTATATCTCCTTCTTCATCATCACCCACACACATCCCCCCACTGGATTTCGTGCATTCTGTCATTTGTATTAAGGTCTAGTGAGTCAAGTTAGTGTTCCCTGATGTCCCTCAGTCAAAGTTCATCCACTGGGGTCTAGTCATCCAGCTAGAGTTCCTCCCTTAAAGATTAACTCTTCCGGGGCTGGAGAGATGGCTCAGCTGTTAAGAGCACCAACTGCTCTTGCAGAGGACCTGGGTTCGATTCCCAGCACCCACATGGTGGCTACGAACCATCCTTAACTCCAGGCCCAGGGGAATCTGAAGCCCTCTTCTGACTTCTGCGGCATTGCACAACATGGGTGCACTCACATACATGCAGATAATACACTCATACACATAAAATAATAAAATGCTTAAAAAAAGATTAACTCTTCCTTACCCAATAGTAATCAGGTGCCCAATAGTTCTTTGGCTAAGATTGGGGCCTGCTGACCAATTCCACAGTTCTGTGGTGGGTTTTTGTCTCCTTGAGTTTACTTGGGGCTTGTGTATGCTGACACCATTGCCATAGAATCATATGAGTGGTGGGGCGGGGGGCGGGGTATGGCTCAGTGGTTAAGAACACTGACCATTCTTGCAAAAGACCCGGGTTCAAATCCCAACACCCACATAGCAGCTAACAGCTGCCCGTAATTCCAGTTCTAGGGGTTCCAGCAGCCTCTTCTGTCTTCTGCGGCCATTGCACGACACGGGTGCACTTACCTACATGCAGGCAATACATGCATACACATAAAAGTAATAAATAAGTAATATTGGGGGCTGGAGAGATGGCTCAGTCGTTAAGAACACTGGTTGTTCTAGCAGAAGACCCGGGTTTGAATCCCAGCACCCACATGGCAGCTAACAAGTGTCTGTAACTCCAGTCCCAGAGGATCCGACAGCCTCTTCTGACCTCTGCAGGCATTGCATGACATGGGTGCACTTACCTACATGCATGCAATACATGCATACACATAAAATTAAAAAAAAAAGAATGATACGAACAGGGTCCCAGGCGCCTATAGGACTCCAGTGGCTGTGCACCTCCTCCTTCACTCTTATAGTCTTTCTACCCCCTCTTCTGCAGTGGTCCCTGAGCCCTGGGTTCATTTTTGTCTGTTGCATTTAATTAAAAATTTATTTTTATTTTATGTGTATGAGTGTTCTGACTGCATGTATGTAAGTGCACCCATGTTGTGAAGCACCTGCAGAAGACAGAAAAGTGTCCAATCTCCTAGAACTGGAGTTAAAGATGGTTGTGAGCCACCATGTGGGTCCTGGGATTTGAATCCAAGTGTTCTGTAAGAACACCCAGTGCTCTTAACTGCTGAGCCATCTCTCCAGCCCCAGGGACTTTAGAAAATATTCTTATGTTCACAGTTTCTTAGTGACAGATGATAAGATAATGTTGAATCTTCACATACTTCTCTGAAGGAGAACGCATAGCTTGAAAAACTGCCTTAGAAAGGGTTCTCTGGGAGGGCACAGATACGAAGCGCTGCCTTTCTGTTCCAATGGCAGAAAAGCCTGGACACGTGATCTTCACATTTCTTTCATTGTCTTTTTCCTTCTGGTTTCTATTGAAGGTGTCTGGAGCTGGAGAGCCAGGGAATGTGGCCCTCCCTCCATGTAGCATCACAGACAAGGACCCTTAGCAGCCTTAGACTCAGTGCACACACTTCCCTTGAATATTTTTACTTGGGGTTTTACCTATAAACGTCTGAGGATAATCAGTGTTTGAATGAAGGCAGTCAATTTCAGAACAAATCACTAAATACTTTGAATTTTCATTTTGGTTCATAATACTAACTACTAATCTTTGGATTTTTCCTCCCTCTAGGAAAAAGAAATTTATCGCTGGCCAATCAAAGAATCTTTGAAAACGATGCTGGCTTGGGGTTGGAGAATTGAAAGGACCCGAGAGGGGGACAGTATGGCTTTCTACAACCGCACACGTCGCATTTCTCAAACAAGCCAGGTGGGAGTCCCAGTGATGAATAAGTTGCTGATGTTATTTAAGTATCTATCTATCTATCTATCTATCTATCTATCTATCTATCTCTCTCTCTCTCTCTCTCTCTCTCTCTCTCTCTCTCTCTATATATATATATATGTATATATATATGACTGGAGAGATGATTCAGTGGTTAAGAGTGCTGGTTGCTCTTGCAGAGGACCCAGGTTTGGTTTCCAGTACCCACACGGCAGCTAATAACCATCAGTAACTCCAGTTCCAGGGGATTTGATGTCTTCTTCTGGCCTCCAACATGGACATTGCACAACACGGGTACACTTACATATGTGAAGGCAAAACACTCATATACATAAAAATAAATATATAAAAATTAAAAACATAAGTATGTAATAATATAATATATGGTCTTTCCCATACTAGGGATTGAACTTAGGGCCTCATGCAGGCTAGGCAAGTATCTTACCACAGGGTTATAATCTAGCCCTAAAAATAATTTTCAGCTGAGCATGGAAGTATGCTTTTATTGTCTTGGTTACTTGGGTGACTGAGGAAGGAGGATTCCTGAGACCTAGGAGTTTGAAGCTAGTCTGGGCAACATAACAAGACTTTATCTCAAATAATAATAATGATAATAATATTGATTAGATCTGGAGATGTAGCACAATTGGTAGAGTGCTTGCCTAGCGTTCACAAAGCTCTAGGTTCAATTCCTGGAACCACATAAATCCAGGCTGAGATACATGCCTATAATCCCAACACTTGGGAGATTGAGGCAGGAGATGTGGAGCTCAGGGTCATTGCTGGCTACCCGGTTAGTTGGAGACGCTTTCTCAAAACTAACTCATGAAAAGGTAATATCAACTTTCCAAGGTGCTCTGATGGTACACTGAGGTCGCCTATGGGTTTTACCATGACAACCACTCACTCCATATTTGCTTCTATTACTGCTAGTAAGCTTAACACTACACATTCCTGACTTGAAGATGGTACATATTCCAGGGAAGATGAACCTATGAACTTGGGATGGAGGAGAGGCAGTAATCAATTATAACTGCCATGGATTCAAGCGTGGGTCAGCATGGCAGTAGTCATGTTGAGTAAACTAAATAGCCCAGGATGGCTGGGGATGGAAAGTATGCAAACATGGATTTCACTCTCAGCAATAGGCGAAGCTGTGGCTCCTGATGGCCTCCTGGTCATGCTGATTGCGTAGGACCTGTGGTCACAGTGGCTGTGGTAGAAAAGTAATGGAGTGTCACTAGGGGGCCACGAGTGCGCCAGTGATCCCTGAGCCTTTGCTGTGTGCTGGGCTCTATGCCAAGGGCTTCTCTTCATTGCCTGAGTCCCACCTGCCTTTGAGCTAGGTCATATATTTAGTAGTGGCTCCATTTCATAGGGAGAAAACATAATATTGGAAGTGGTAAGTGATGTGGCCTGCGCCATGTTTGTTGTGTCTTGTTGGGTAGAGGCAGCTGTTCCTACACCATAGGACATTATTGGCCACCAGTGCAATGGGACAAGCACTGATAAGGGTTGTCAGCTGGAGGGACCGATCATTTCCGGAGTAATTTCCCAAGGTGTTCTGGTTTCATTCTGTTGATGTGAGAAAATATACTGAAGTACCTGCAGGAGGAACGGGCTGGTTTTAGTTCTCAATTCCAGGTGACTGTCGAATGCTGCAGGGACCACAGCTGCTGGAGATGGCCACACCCAGCCACATGACATCCTCCATCCCGAGGAGAGACAAGTGAGTGCACACAGGCTCGCATGTTCGTGCTCAGCCTGGCCTCCCCAGTTTTAGACAGTTCAGAGCCCCCCTTTCTATGGAATTGCTCTCTAGTGGGCTGGGCCTTCTTACACCAATCAAGTCAATTAAGACAATCCCCCACAGATATGCCACATGTCGGCCTAATGTAGACAATCCCTCATTGAAACTCTTCCCAGGTATTTCCAGATGGTGCTAAGTTGACAAGACCAACCATCACACACACAGGGAAATGGCAGTTCATTCTAAACAATTCATGACAATGTGCTGTTTCTCCTTTTACTGCAGTTCTTGCCTAAATGGGATGAGACAGTTTTGAAGACTAAAAAGATTAAGGTTTGAAATCATCATAGAAAGGGCTGTGAACTAATAAGGAGTAACCAAAACTCTGCTATAAGGAGGGGCTGCTTGGGGTAGGGTTATATAACTTTTCTAAAGAGAGCAAATACAATCATCTACTAATCTGTGAGTGTGAAGCCGGAGAGTAGAAAACTCTACCAACTTGTTAAAATTAGGAGTTATTCATAATTCTCCTTAAAGTTATGTAAGACTGTAAGACAAACAAAAACTCACAGTACAGGAACACTCTAACACTGGAACGCAAGCTTACTTGTTTGATAGATAAGCCTGATTTTAGCTCAGAGATCTGTGCTAGTTAGATTTTCCTTACTGTGATAAAGTACCTGAGAGAAGCCATTTAAAAGCAGAAAGGTTTATCTTTCATGTCTCAGGGGTCTCAGTTCATGGTCACCTGGCTCCATTATTATGGAGCAGAGCCTCGTGGTGGTGGGTATGTGGAGTAGAGGAGGCTGT